ATTATTATTATTATTATTATTATTAAAAAATAAATTATTTATTTGGCAACAAGTAGTTGATCAAGGACCCGAAAAGGACAGATTACAGGGCCCAGGTCATCAATTTGGAAAATGTTTGATTGGCGTCCAGTTGGATTATTATGCTCCATTATTGTTGAAAAGTACTCCTTTGATTGCATAACGTCCAATCAAAACTTTGGGAAAATATAGGTAACTCACTTTGACTGATAACATATATTATCCGTCTTCATTATCCCTCCAAGATGGTTAAGTCACTTGCTCTACCTACTCTCTTTCCCGAAGGAAAAAATAAAAAATAAAAAAAGCGCTATTATTACAGAATATATTTTATTATTGCATCCAATTTTGTCTTAATATGTTTCATATAGTCGATTAGGATCGCTACTCAGAACTATTCGTACTAAAAATGTGTAAGATCTTTTTAATATGCATAGGTTTCGTTTACTAGTCTTGATAGAATGGAATAAGGTTGCTTAACCAACTTTATCCTTCATTTACTAAATAGGATTGAGATAAGGATACATATGACACGACATGAGCTGGCGGGATATGTATCCTTGTTGGCGGGATAAAAAAATCAGGCCATTATGGTGTGATAAAATTATCCTTGGTGTTAAATGACCCATATTTAATTTCAAATATTTTTATTTAATTTAAAATAATATTTTTTAATCTATAAAATATTAAATTTAAATAATTTAATTAAATTAAAAAATATTGTTTAATATAAAATAATTTAATTTAATTTAAATTAATATTATTTAATTCATAAAACATTAATTTAAATAGTTTTATTTAATCTAAAATAATTTTACATAATTAAAATAATATTTAAATTAATATTATTTAAATTTATAAAATATTAATTTAGATAATTTTATTTAATTTAAAATAATTTTAACTTTTTTTCTCTAAAATACTTTTATTTATTTTAAAATAATACTATTTAATCAATAAAATGTTAATTTCAATATTTTTTAATTTAAAAAATATTGTTTAATATAAAATAATTTAACTTAATTTAAAATAATATTTAAAATAATATTATTTGAATTTATAAAATATTAATTTAAATAATTTTATTTAATTTAAAATACTTTTAATTTTTTTTTCTCTAAATACTTTTATTTATTTTAAAATAATACTATTTAATCTACAAAATATTAATTTAAATAATTTTTTATTTAATTTTAAAAATATTGTGTAATATAAAATAATTTAATTTAATTTGAAATATATTATTTAATTTATAAAATATTAATGTAAATAATTTTATAAAATTTAAAATAATTTTATTTAAAAATATTATTATTTAATCTAAAATTACTTTACTTGATTTAAATAATATTATTTAATCTATAAAATATTAATTTAATTAATTTTATTTAATTATAAAATATTTTTATCTAATTTAAAATATAATTATTTAATTTATAAAAATATTAATTTAGTTAATTAAATTTAGTAATTTTATTATTTATCATAGATATTTATCCACTTTAGTAAACATGGGACATTTGTATCCAAAATCTGATGTGGCAAATTAGAGAGATTAATTTGTTTAATCACATCATCTCTAATAAACGAGGCTATAAGGTTTTTGTCTTTGGGTTATAATTGAATCTTATTCTATTCTCTCATATCTTGGAAGAAAATTCTTTTAATTTGTGGGTTATTTACTCATAATTGTATTTAGTTGACAAGTTTAGTAAATTTGGTGTTGCTGTTAGTGGTACCCAGAGACACAGATAATATTGGCAAAACTCCGTTATCAATTTTTGTTGGAGTATCACTTGTGATTATTTCACATTGATTGTATAAGAAAATTGGGTCTAGCTTATATACCTAGTGGGCTACTCCTCCCATCACTAATTAGTTTTAGGATGGAACATCACTATTGTGCACTTAAGCCCACTCCTTTATGGTGCACTTCATTTGCGTGGGGTCGCGCACACTCTTGCCCGATTCTCTAAATCTTACATAGTTTCAGAGTCAGGCCGACTCCTGCTTGGGTCTCTATCTCTACCCGGCCTCCGACTCTTGTTTGGGTCTCTATCTCTACCCGGCCTGCTCTGAGCTTGGGCTTATGAAGTACTCACAAGTGAGAGAGTGTGTTGGAGTATCACGTGTGAGTTGTTCCATATTGATTATATAGGGAAGTTGGGCATAGACATGGCCAAAACTCGGACCGGGTCACGGCCCAACCTGGCCCGCCGGGCCACCGGGCTCGAAAACACTGACCCGGACCCGGCACGGACCTATACTCATGTCGGGTCAATGGACAAGTTGACCGGGCCGGGTCCATGTCCGGACCGGGTCGTGTACGGGCCGGGTCCGTCATTTTTTTAAAAAAATAATAGAAAAAATAAAAAAATAAAAAAAGCGGGCCATCGACCTCGGGCCGGGCTGGGTCATGAAATTGATGACCCTAAGACGACCGTCTGAAATCCATTCTCGTCTCGGACAAGCCCGGGCCTGTCATGAAATTGATGACCCTAAGATTATATACCTAATGGGCTACTCATTTCATCACCAATTAGTTTTGAAATGCAACCTCACTATGGTGCACCTAGGCTCGCCTTCTTATGATGCGCTTTATCGGCGTGGGGCCGCACCCTCTTACCCGATTCTCTAAATCCTACAGGGTATCAAAGCAAGGTCGACCTCTGCCTGGGTCTCTATCTCTACTCAGCCTGCTTTGGGCATAGACTTACTCTCTACCCGGTCTGCTCTGAGTTTGGGCTTATGAAGGACTCACAAGTGAGGGGACGTGTTCGAGTGTCACTTGTAAGTTGTCCCACGTTGATTTTATAAGAAAATTGGCCTAGCTTATTTACCTAGTGGACTAGTTCTCTCATCACCAATTGGTTTGGGTGGAACCTCATTATGATGCACCTAAGCTCACCCTCTTATGGTGCGCTTCATCTGCGTGGGGCCACACCCTCTTGCCCGATTCTCTAAATCTTACAATTTTCTATGTTCTTTTTCTTTCTCTCTTTTATTTATTTGTGTTGGCTCATTTTTATTAGTAGTACTGTTTCTCATCATGGTATTTTTGTATTCCGTGTTTATTCTGAAACCCCAACACCTACGAGTAAAAACTGATAAAAAATTCATATAAGTTGGGACCGTTTTATAAAAACATAGTTTATATAAAACATTTAATTAACATAAATATATAAATTTTAATAAGTTGGACATTTATCAATTATTGTCTCAATTAATTTAGATATTTTTTTTCATGAAATAATACTTAAAAATATTACATATAGTATTAAAAATTTATAATAAGATGAGCATAGCTCAACAAAAGTCCTGCTAACCATTGAACATCTAGAACATGCATAGTTCATATTCACTGTTAGAATATCGACCAGTAAAGTTTACCAAACCTCGATTTCATCAACAATGTTGTAGTATTGTTCTGCCTCCAGGTTAGGTTTGCTAATAGCGGTTTAGGTACTAAAAATAGAATATAAACGAGGGATTATAACCACTATTTATAGCATATAGTTCCTTTGGGGGCCTTGTCGACTCAATTTTGCATTCCCTAACCTTATTTGTATCCCTTATTTAGCTAAGCATGATTAAAGTATGTTAAACCATCATATGTTTTTTTTTCAAAAAAAAAATGTATAGTTTACACGAGCAAAAGTTTTCAAAAATGAATATGACAAATATGTGATAACAATTCATTCCCCCAAAAAACTTATGTCACGTTAGTTTCATAGTGGAGTCAACTTTCTATATACAACAAGTAAATCATACCATATTCTCTGATTACTGAAATAATACTAATATAATTTTATTAATATGGAATGATTTACTTGTACGAGGTTCGAATGCTGCCTCTCCCACTTCTTTGTTGTATACTTCAGAGAAGAGAGGCTTAAAGGTTCGATGCATACAAACGAAGCAAAGTGAAGTCATAGAATCTCGACCAAACAAACTTTTCGAAGCGAAAACCAGTCCCTGGAAAGAGTCGTATGTATATAAAATGTTGGTTTCATAGCAAAATTGTTTCGAACACATTGGCGAATTGACACAAGTTGATGAAAACCTAAACCTACTGCACAGCTGGACTTCAATGCATGCTTTGATTGCACCAAGTACAAGCCCACCATTTACCCTTTTTTTTCACCTCAATACCAAAAGTTCACTATATAACGTATTAACTACAAAGACCCCCAAATGATGTTAAATGTCCAGCTGCTGATTCTATCATATTATAGGTAGAAAATAAATCAAGCCCAATCATGGAGCCAATAGTATGGTTACATCTTAGCCAGCTGTTGATAAGAAGGACATGCCCACCCCCCGACCCCCACCTCCCTTCCCATCTCTATTTTTATTTGTTTTTTATTTTCTTTTATAACCTATATTATTAAATTTAAACAAGTACACCTTTCCCCACCCACTATATTATTATTTATTTACTTTTTATTATCTATTATATTTTATTAAAACAAGTACACGTTTTACAAGCTACACTCAAAAAATATCTCCATGTACATAGTTTTTTTTTTTAGTCAGCCACGCTTCGATTAATCTATTGGTCGATTCGAGTCGCACACCTAACAGTGGTGGGTGAGTCTCCCAACAAGGGTTTTCTGCATCCACAAAGACTCGAATCTGAGACCTTACTTAAGCGACATCAAACTATTTACCACTTGAGAGCCACCTAGTTTTGATTTTGCATGCATGTAAAAACTTGAAAACTCCCACGTCATCGCAATTTTGCGTTATTAGCTGTCAAATGGTCCCGCCAAAGTCAACACAAATATCACCTTCCCCTCTTATTCACTTGCCACACGCATGCATCTCTTCTCCTTCGGCTGCATTCTATTATATAAAGGCCCTTCCATCCAATTCATGCACACCACAAACTCACAAACCATCAAATTCAGCTCTAAATTCCACACACAACAATAAAACAGAGTAGAGAGAGATAGTTATCAAACTATTAATCATCACATAAGATGAAGATATATATTGTGCTCTTAGCACTAATAACCTTTGTTGCAGCTGCTAATTGCAGCAACTTCAACCAGGATTTCGACATCACCTGGGGAGACGGACGTGCGAAAATATTAAACAACGGGCAGCTTCTCACGCTGTCCTTAGACAAGACCTCCGGCTCGGGGTTTAGGTCCAAGAAGCAGTATATGTTCGGGAAAATCGACCTGCAGATAAAGCTCGTCCCGGGCAATTCTGCTGGCACGGTTACTACATATTATGTAAGCTCCCATGAGATAAATTCTGCTCATCTTTCTATTTGCGGAAAAATAATTTTTAGTTTTACCTCGTTTGATTTCAGTTATCTTCGTTGGGACCGAATCACGACGAGATCGACTTTGAGTTTCTCGGGAACCTAAGCGGACAACCGTACACGCTCCACACAAATGTATTCGCACAGGGAAAAGGCGATCGAGAACAACAGTTTCGCCTGTGGTTTGATCCTACAAAGGGTTTCCACACCTACTCCATCCTATGGAACCCTCAGAGCATCATGTAAGTGGTTAGGGTAAATTACAAAAACTACCCCTGTACTTGGAACATAACAGTGACTTTAGTAATTAGCATAAAAATTACAGGGGGATATTTAGCATAATAATATTTGATATTTTCACTAAAACAACTTACCAATACTCGCATGATTTGATATGATATCATCAAACAGATTCTCAGTAGACGGTACTCCCATCAGACAATTCAAGAACCTTGAGTCCAAAGGCGTACCGTATCCAAAGAACCAGCCCATGTGGGTATACTCGAGCCTTTGGAACGCGGACGATTGGGCCACAAGAGGTGGACTCGTGAAGACTGATTGGAGCCAGGCCCCTTTCACGGCCTCATACACAAACTTCAATGCATTGGCCTGTGCAGGTGCCACCAGCTCTTGCTCGTCGGCCAATTCTTGGTTCTCACAGTCACTGGATTTCAATGGTCAGCAGAGAATAAAATGGGTGCAGAAAAACTACATGACTTACAACTACTGCACGGACACTAAGCGCTATCCGCACGGGTTCCCGATTGAGTGCTCCGCTGCATGATAGACGATGTCAAAGCACTTCCCAGTTTAAAACCAATATTTGTGTGTATGTATGTGTGTGTGTGTGTGTGTGTGTGTATTACTTAAACATGTGCATAGAATTGTTTGTTTTATTCTTTAAGAATGTTTTTAATAATAACTGGGATGTATATTTGTGAATTTGAATGAATACACATGTGGGTTTTATGTGAATAGATTCAGAGAATGTTGACAATGCTTCTTTCTTGCTCTCTCTATTCTTTACTTAATAAAATAAAATAAAAAAATAAAAAAAAAAATGTCAAAATTTTGAGAATGTTATTTAACTAGTATGAAGAATAATATTTAACCAACTCACATGTAAGAATAGAATCTTGATCTTGGAGTACTTGTGAGTTTGAACAAAACCATAACCAGTTTCGAACTTTGTACATTTTTAGTTCATTCCGGTAGAATAGTGCCAGGTTCTTCGAAATCTCAAGAATATTACCGGTACTTCAATAGCGAGTATATGATATTTGTCGCAAGGTTGAAGTATCTTGAGACAAGTTTCCAAAAGCTTGATCTTAAAGTTCGATAACAGAAGGAACATAGGGGAACAAATGCTTTACACAATTTACACTTAACAGAAAAAAAAATTGTGAAAGCTTCTCAGCACACAACTGAGATTGAGGGTTGCACTTGACAGCATCATATCCTTTGGGAAATATTATCATTTGCACAACCGCAAGATCAACACGTGTAGTGTGCAAACGATACAAGCTCGGTCCCATAGGATGGCTTCATCAATCATTAAAAGATCAATCCTGATGATACTACTACGCTCAAAATGATAACAAAATACAAATCCCATGCAAAACGAACTTGGTATAAAAAATAAGACACCTTCAAGTAGAGACTTACAAAGTCTACACAAGTCAATTAAACTAAGAAAGCAGAGTCATACCTGATAGATAGCGCAGTTGCAACATTTAGCAATACCCAATCAGGGTTTTAGAATTAGAACTTCATCGACAGAAGCAATATAAAGCCGTATTGCGAATGAGGTGTCAACTAGTCGAACATCATTCTTAAGCCAATGTACGAACAACTAGTAACCAAACCTGCTGCCTGAGCTCAAGCTAAGACCAAAAACAAACTAGGTTAGAAAATGAGCGGAAAGATCGAAATCCCAGCAACACCAAAATGTATAACACCCAACAATCTAGATAAATCAAATCCCAGCAACACCAAAATGTATAACACCAAAAATTCTAGATAAATCAAATCCCAGCAAAACAACAAGAATTTAACTGTTTTTCTCATCAATTCTAGAGGAAATTCTGCAACTTTACCATGGTAACAATGAACCCTCAGCACTAAACAACAGTAAGTGAAGAAAATGTATACTGTGAAAAAGAAAAGGCAGACATTGTGGTGAACTAAAAATTCCTCAAAATTGGGGGCAAATAGGAAAAACATAGTTGAAGAAAGACAAAAGGAAAGGCCATAGCCACACCACCGTATAACATTCGGCAAACACAATCATCCTCTCAGCGGAGCCTCGGCGGACACGGCCACGAAATTCAACGAGTGAGCATTCAAAAGATGCGCCGGGACGTGAGGAATTAGACGCACACTGCAATTTCTCCAAGGGTTGATACAATCGACCGGCATTTACTAGAAAAAAACGGCGACAATTTACGATAGCGGTTGGGTAAATAGCCGGCGTTTGCAGTGAGAAACTGAGGGAGGGCTTTCGAACTAAATGATGAGAGGAGGCTAATGGTGAAGCTGCTCAGTTATCCGCTACGAGGGAATAAGCTGGAAAATCATAGAGAAAAAAAACCGAGCTCTGGTGACTTCGTGGCCCACCGTCCGGCACGACATCCTTCGAGCCCATATAATGAAGGTGTCCTGCGGCAGCGACATCTTGGAGGCAGTGGCCGGAGGCTGAAAGGACTTCGCGGCGGTGGTCGGCGGTTGCAGCATCAAGCCTCCAGATTGTACTAAAGTGTGTGTGTGTTTGAAGGGAATTGTATTCCAATTCCCACGGCATTCAACTAAACTGTCACCAATTGGACAAATTGAAGTCAACAATTTTATTAGTTTGCCAATGTACAAGTGTTTGCATATGAAAAAACTTAATTCATGCTCAAAATGAACTTAATTTTAATCCAACTTTACTATATTATTTTAAATATTATCTAATACAAAATTAAAATCTCACTAACAACTAATCACACCACATTTTTCACAATTAACTCTGGTTAATAAAAAGAAAACTCATTTTGAGCAGATCCTAGAGATACAATTTCCGGAGTGGTTACCAAATACAGTTATTGTGTCCAAATCGGAGGGCAAGTGGAGATTGTGTATAAATTTCAAGGATTTGAATAAGGCATGCTCGAAAGACTTATATTCGTCAGTGGCGCCGGGTCACTCGATTTTCGACCTTAGTGGTAGGTCATTCGGTTCTCGACCTTAGTGGCGTCGGGTCACTCGATTTTCGACCTTAGTGGTAGGTCATTCGATTCTCGACCTCAGTGGCGCCGGGTCATTCGGTTTTCGACCTCAGTGGTAAGTCATTCTATTCTCTACCTCATCAGCAGTCATTCGGTTCTGGACCTCAGTGGCCTAGGGTTATTTGGTTTTTTACCTCAGTGGTAGATCATTTGATTTTCGACCTCAGCACTGGGTCATTCAGTTTTTTTACCTCAATTGAAGGTCATTTGGTTTTCTCGATATCAGTAGAAGGTCAATCGGTTTTCGACCTCAGTGGAAGGTCACTCGATTTTCGACCAAAAGGTGGCGTGAGGTCATTCATTTTCTGACCTCAGTGGTAGGTCATTTAGTTTTCTACCCCGTTGGCAGGCTATTCTGTATTCGACCTCATTGTCAAGTCATTCAATTCTCAACATCAGTGGTGTCGATGTTAGGATCAATGATAATCTCGTTATGTACAAGTCACAAATTCAATAGCAACAATAAACTGTTTGTAGTATTTTTGGGCATGTGGTAACCGAGGTACCCGACTCGGGTCGTTCTCAAAGGAAGGCTCTTCGGAGCTTCGTTCACTACCTAGTCGTCAAAGTCACACAACTAAAAAGGTCCTAAACATGCTAATCGCTTGAATTGAGGGTTGATTTCACATGAAATTAAACTAACAATCTAGAGTAAACGAAAGCAAATTATGCAAGATGGAAACTTTAGGTCATCCGGAGTCTCTATCACTCGAATAGACGCGACAAACCAAACAACATCATAGTAGCCATGTGATCCAAGGTGATTAAATCGAGCTTTCTAACTAGTGACTACGCTTAAAACCAAGTCGTGCCCTTTACACAAGATAAGCATGAACTAATCCCTAACACATCATGACGAGCAACAAAAATCAAACTTTTCTCCATTCAACAAGCAAACCACCTTCACCTTGAAACACATCATAAGCAAAAAGGGGCAAAATCGAAGTAATGAGGATTAAATCTAATTACCCACTCTCCTAATGCATGCGTGAAGAACACCGGATGGAAAAGTTCGAATCTTGAAATAAAATGACGTCGCCGGAAACTTGCCAGAAAATTAGAGTAATAAAGCTCCTAACCAAAGCATAAAAAGAAAAAAAAAGGAAAGTAGAGAGGATTTTCCCAACTTAAAAGTTGGGAAATGAGGGTTGTTCCAAAAAATACAAAGCAAGATATCTATATATAGTTACACCACAAACACACACTAAAAACACACACATTTAACAATTTAGCACTCGCTACGTAGCGAACTAGTTCGCTAAGCGAATTGGTCTTGTGGTCTTGTGCACACTCGCTAGGCGGCGAACGCGTTCGCTAGACGAACTGGTCTTGTGATCTTGTGCACACTCGCTATGTGGCGAACACGTTCGCTAGGCGAACTAGACTTCCGGATCTCTTGCACAGTAATGACTCGATAATGGCTCGGGGGTTCTCGGAATTGTTCATGCTCTCGGAACTTGGCTCGATTCTTCTCTTTCATCTTCGAAAATGGACCTAAAAATTGCACCAAAAACAGGAGAAAGTACGCCAAAATACAAATAACAAAGAGAAAAAAAATAAAAACACACGGAATCAACTAAAATGGACCGGTTAGATAAGAAAACCAACCTAAAACCGACTCAACTACACACATAAAACACATAAAAAGAAGCACAAAAACACAATAAACATAAACCTATGTGCAACGGATCTAGAAGTTTAGAGTTGCATACTTACGACTTAAAATTGCAGACTATGAGTCATTGGAGAATTCTATTGTAAGAGATCGTCTGAACTCAAAATCTGTTGGATGGCAGGATTCTTCACGTCGGACTCAAGATACTCGTCGAGAGCTTTGGCCAGGAACATGCGGATCGCGTCGAGCGGTGTCGCCAGAGTGCGCGGGGATCGCGGAGCTGCGACAGACGAGCGGCATCGACGGGCTGCGTGTGCGGTCGCCGAGATGCGGGATCTTCGCGAGCTACGTGCGGGTTGCGGTTCGCGTGCGGCTGGCTGCGGCGTCTCGCGGTGGTCGTCGGCATGCGCGGGCTGCGGCTCGTGGTGGTCGTCGACGTGCGCAGGCTGCGATTCGTGGTGGTCGGGGACTTCGGGTGGCTGGCGAGCGATCACAGGGTTGATCGTCAGTTGATGATCATGGGATCTCGGTACCTCGGGATCTTCTACTGTATATCTCAAACACCTATTCGAATTGTATCAAAGGATCAACAAAACGAAGACAAAGCTCGACTATTGGAACTAGAGAGAAAGGGGGCGACCAATGTGTATGCACGTTAGGTTTGTTCTCCTCTCCTCTTCTCAATCCCAAGAGCTTAATGATGTATTTATAAAGCTACAGTAGGATTCCTAAGAAGGTGTTGATTTGGGCTCCTTAAGCATTAGGATTAACTGTAAGTTAAGCCCACTATTGACAATTACATAAATAATGTTTCGGTCTACTAACGTAAACGTTATGCTCACTCGACCAGANNGGGGGGGGGGGGGGGGACTAAATGACATGTGATATTTTTACTAGACCGAT